GAGCCAGGAAGGAGCATTTTAGTAGCATTCTGAGACAATTGTGAATGTTCATTTATATTATACCCAAACTCAACAGATGCTAGTTTCTTTTTTTCTTTTTGAGACAGAGTCTCACTCTGTCACCCTCAGTAGAGTGCTGTGGCCTCACAGCTCACAGCAACCTCCAACTCCTGGGCTTAGGTGATTCTCCTGCCTCAGCCTCTTGACTAGTTGGGACTACAGGTGCCTGCCACAGTGCCGAGCTATTTTTGTTGTTGTTGTTTGGCCGGGGCGGGTTTGAACTTGCCATCCTCGGCATATGGGGCTGGCGCCCTACTCACTGAGCCATAGGCGCCGCCTCCAGATAGTAGTTTCTTAAAGATTAATTTCAATGTGGCATCTGAAACCATATCAATACATTTTCCATTTTCTATTTATTTGTAAGAGAATGGGACCAAAAGTCTTATTATTATGAAAATAGTTTTGACCTCGTGGATAACCCCCAAAGGTGTTGGGGAACCGGAGATCCCAGGACCATGCTTTAAGAATGGCTTTTCTAGACTGACACCCATTTCCATGATGAACAGCAGGGGTCAGTGTGTAGACCGCAGCCAACAGACATACTTGGGGACCAAGTCCCAGACCTTAATCACACTGGTCTCCATCCCACATCCAGGCATCTGCTCTTCCAGGTTGGACCCGACACTCCACTGTGGGCTGTTTCAGGAAAGAGACCACTCCAACCCCAGAGACCATGTATGGAGACACCATGGCCAGACCTGGGGGGGGGCCACAAGTCACCAACGGCCCCCATGTATGCCATGTATGGAGCCATGTATGGAGACACCATGGCCAGACCTGGGGGGGCCACAAGTCACCAACGGCCCCCTCTGACGTGGACTCTTGACCATCCACATGAGACTAACGTACAACCCAGGAAAACAAAGATGGGGTCAGAAACGACTTGCTTACCAAATAACTTTAAATTGGTGTCCCATTTCCCACCTTTGGTACACTATGATTTGTTTTGCATTGTTGGGTTTTTTAAAATTTCAGTTTTCTTGTGAATAGTAGTCACACCACTCCATGTGGGTGTGAAAAGTGTTACTCTGTTCAGAGTAAACATTTAACGCTTACTACAACTCAGCAGCCCTGTTTCCTTTTCTTTCTTTTTTTATTATTTTGAGAGCTTTGAGAAATGGAAGTGATGGGGATCTTGCTGATGGAGAGTCTGTGTCCTGGGTCCAGTAAAGAGGCCAAGGGTGTGGGTTCACAGGTGCTGCTCTCGTCACAGCCTGCAGGGGGCGCCACGGCCCTAGCCCCGGAGCTGTCCTGCCATCCAGCTGTGGCTGGACACAGCGAGTGTGGAGGTCACACCTCTGCCCTGCCAGGCACCCCACAGAAACAAGGGTGTTCCGGGGTGACCCCAGAGGAGAAGCAAATCCCGGAACTTGAGGGTGGGATGACTCCACAGAAAGACCCCATCTTCTGCAGAAGCTTGTGAATTGCAAGGGTATGTGGCTGGGGAGAAGAACGGAAGAGAGGGAGAAAGATGGGGGGCCCTGTACTCTGATGGGGGGCCCTGTACTCTGATGGGGAGCCCTGTACTCTGATGCTCAAACTCTCATCTTCTTATAGTGGGGACAGGCGAGGGCACCCAGAACATGGCCTCACAGCCCCCAACCAATCACTGAAGTCAATCACTAGGAAATAAGCCCCTTTGTCCCCTCTGGGTCATTTCCTAGTAGGGCCAGAGTTTGGGGATCACTGGTAAGGAAACCCCCAAACTGACATTTATTGTCCTCTGACCCATCTGAGGTCTATTTCTTTTTTGTTTGTTTTTAAAATTTTAACCAGGCTCGGTGCCTGTGGCTCAAGTGGCTACGGTGCCAGCCATATACACCTAAGGTGGCAGGTTCGAATCCAGCCTGGGCCTGCCAAACAACAATGATGGCTGCAACCAAAAAAATAGCTGGGCGTTGTGGCGGGCACCTGTGGTCCCAGCTACTTGGGAGGCAGAGGCAGGAGACTCGCTTGAGCCCAGGAGTTGGAGGTTGCTGTGAGCTGTGATGCCACGGCACTCTGCCCAGGGTGACATCTTGAGGCTCTGTCTCAAAAATAATAATAATAATAAAAAAACTTTAACCAAAACAACATCGACCTGCCTCCACTCACAGGCATTTCTGTTCTTCCTGAATCTAATCATTACTCTTGTACTGGACATATGAGAAGTAGAGAAG